TACTCAAAACTTATATAAAAGAAAATGATCTGTCCGTTTTCAAACTTCTCCAAACATCATTTTAGGATTTGAATACGAAACATTTGACTAATCTCCTAAGTAATACTGTAGTAGTGGATGGTGTATATTGTTAGACTCCCGTGCTCGACAAACCACCGTTAACAAACCAAGTTTTACGGCTCTCACAGAAAACACCATATCTGCGAACTCCAAACATCCAAGAAATCAGGAAACACTAAACAATCAAAAGCCAAAACCCAGATTCAAATGCCATATCACAGCAATATTCATTTCATTCAAGAGTCTGCAGCATGACAAGCAGGAATAAAATAAAATAATAATAAAAGAGAGAAAGAGAGAAAACCTAATTTAGAACGATACCCTGTAGAACAATACGTAGTCTGCTTCTTTTATTCAGAATTTCCTCTTAACAATAAGGAGAATGTGTCCAGATTCCCACTTCAAAAAAGCGAAGAGTTTCAGATTATAGAACAACAAACTAGGTCTGCCTGTAAGCAATGTAATTAGCTAAAGCAATCAAAGGCGCCGCCTTGTCCATGTCAAACCCTTGGAGTTGCACCACTGCATTATTCTTCAGCTTCTCTGCAAACTGTTTGGACTTCTCTATTCCCATCAGCTTTGGATATGTAGCCTTATCCAATACCAAATCCCTGCCGGCGGTCTTCCCCAATTCTTGTGATGACTTTGTCACATCTAGAATATCATTCACCACCTGATACGAAAGCCCAATGTTCCTGGCAAATGTTCTCAACTTTTCCACCTCCTCATCCGACCCACCTCCCAGAATCGCCCCAAGAACCGCCGAGCTTTCAAGCAAGACTGCGGTTTTATGTATGTGTATGAACTCTAGATGATCCAACCCCACATCTGCAAGCCCCTCACTGCTTATGTCCACAACTTGACCAGCCACCAGCCCTTCCGTTCCAAATGATTTCGCTAATTCCCCTACAGCACGCAAAATTCGTTCCGGCGTGACACCAATAGTGGATGCTGACATGTGCTCGAATGCAAAAGAGAGAAGCGCATCTCCGGCCAAGACAGCGATATCCTCGCCAAAGACTTTGTGATTTGTGGGTTTTCCTCGGCGAAGATCATCGTTATCCATACAGGGGAGGTCGTCCTGGATTACCGACATGGTATTGATCATCTCGACGGCACAAGCAGCCGGCATGGCCGTGGATTCCTGCCCGCCGACGAGCTCACACGCCGCTAGACAGAGCACCGGTCTCACGCGCTTCCCCCCAGCCAAGAGCGAGTAGCGCATTGCTTCGTGGATCTTCAAAGGCTCTCGGAGCGAAACGGCAGCGTCCAGGGCTTGATTGACAGAATTCACCTTTTGGACCATATAAGATTTGAAATCAAAGGAAGGTTTTTGTGGGTCTTGGTCTTCTTCCTTGATGGTATCTTCCCTGGTGAGGACAGAAGAGATAAAAGGAACAGAAGAAACAGGACGGGATTTTGTTGGGAACGCCACGACCGGCAGACCGAATCTTTTGAAAGGACCAAAAGTTGAGAATCTGGGTATGGGCATGGATCTGGATCTAGTTGCTTGGTTAGAGACGAAGCAGGTCTGAACCCACGAACCCAGATTCACAGTATTCATTTTCAGATGGGTTTTCTTCCTTTTACTAGTTTGTTTCACAGGAAAATTCCCGGCCGCTTTGAAGAGGGAGATTCGGCAAGCAGCTGCCCTGTAACTTATATTCGTGGAGATTGAACTAATGATTGAAACATGAAAATGTATATTCGAAGTGTGGTTAATCATTGAATTCCACCAACAGACCTTGTGGCTGTGCGCCTCATTGAAGTTGGTGGCCTGTTCCACCCGTATGTTTTATTGAAGTTGATGGGCTGTTCACCTGCACGCTTCATTGAGGTTGATGACTGTTCACCAGATCTGGAAATCAAATTTCAAGTTGTTAATATTTGACAATAATAACATACTAATCATTGCCCTTATAAAAAAAAATGTAGTTAATCATTAATATTTGTAGGATTATGGGTGTAAAAGTTTTATATTTTTACAAATAATTTTATAAGTGTTTATTTTATTTTTGTTGCGTAAATTTTACGACGATTAAAGGTTTGATGTTAAATGAAGAAGAATTAGAAAAAAAAGGATTTAAATGTAAAGAGCTGAAAAGATGAGGATCCAAGGATAAATAAGAAGTTTGAAGGCTCAAGTGAGATTTTCTCCATTCTTGATCAAGGAGCAAATTACAAAGATCAGAAAACTATGATGATCAAATTGCGCGGAATCCAGGAGTCAGGGAGCAGAACTGTTATTCTGCCATTAATCAAAATTGCACAAAAGGCCAAAAACCCAACACTGAAGATGCAGTAGGCGCTCCACTCAAAGTGCCGGCACCTTGTAAAGAGTATCGACCCCTTGCGATTTTTCAGCCAAATCATATCTGTCCTACTTATTTTGACGTGGGACCCACAACCATTTTAGTTAGCTTATTAAAACCCTATAAATACCCATCCAAGTTGTTATGGAGAGGTGTTTCGGGGCTGGAAAGGCTGCTATCATGCTTTTATTTTCTTTTTTAAGGTCAAAAAATTATGTTAAAGGGCATCAGAAATGGATATATAAACTTGAATACCTGAGGAGAATCAACGGAAACGAGAGAGATGAGACGATTTCTTTCT